CACACACACACACACACACACACACACAAATAAATAAATAAATAAATAGATGTAATAAGAAATTTTTAAATCACTGAATGTGCAAAAGGAGCCCAACTATGGAAACTATAAATTTGTATATGAATACACACACACACACAAGCATAAGCACACATGCATGTTCAGACTCCCACATACACAGGCACACATGCACATTTTCTAAAGGGATGGCTTTGTGTTAGTCTTTCCCTGGGTTGCCTCTGCCTGGTTTAGCTTGAGTGACTTGGTTTCCTGCCTGTGCTCACAGACACCTCCCCTAGACAGCGAATTCAGAATCTTAGTCGCTTTGTGTGGAAGCAGGCAACAGTGGCCAGTGAACTGTGGGAAAAGCTGACAGCCCGCTGTGTAGATCAGCACCGCCACATTGAGCGCACTCTGGAACAGCTGTTGGAGATCCAAGGGGCAATGGAGGAGTTGAGCACTACACTGACCCAAGCTGAGGGAGTCCGAGCCACTTGGGAGCCCATCGGGGATCTCTTCATTGATTCCCTCCCGGAGCATATCCAAGCTGTCAAGGTATATAGGGCCCCTCCCTATACAGTCCTTGCTGAGACCTGATGCTCTTTCACCTTGTCACTGTACCTTATGAGGAGAGTGCATTGTTGGCCTGGACCTTCAATGAGTCTTTCTTAGTTATGGGCTAGATCTGGGGCCTGTGTATCAACAGTCCCCTCTGTTCTTCTACTGTCTTCTCTTTCCCTGGTTTTCTACAATGAAGAGAAAAGGATAAGAGCAGTGACCACTCACACTTTAATCTAGTTGCCCAAATAGTCAAGCAGCTAGGTTGTGTTATTGAAACTAAACCTCTCCATGAAAAAGGCAGAGTTAAGATGAATGAGTAACGGGTTCTCCTTCCTACTCTCTGTCTGCTGTGGCATTTGAGTTTTGCTTTTGTAGCTATTCAAAGAAGAGTTCTCTCCTGTGAAGGATGGAGTGCAGTTAGTGAATGATCTGGCCCACCAACTTGCCATTTCTGATGTGCACTTGTCAATGGAGAATTCACGGGCTTTGGAACAGATTAACATCCGGTGGAAACAGCTCCAGGTAGAAGAGCATCCTGAAATGAGCCTTGGGGAAGTGCATTGATATGACTAGGCTTAGGGGGAAATGTCTTCAGGTTCAAAGGATAGCAAGGGTTATTGAACGGAAATCTATACAGGAAAAGAAGAGAATGTGGGGTCAGGGAATAAGCTTCTCAACCCGTGAGCTACAGGGAGTGTTAAACTAGAAGAATGAGAAGGGCTTGTCTAGATTTGGGAATGCTGGTTAGATTGAGGAGAAGGATTTTTATGGCCTGGAACTAAGGAGGTTCTTCTCAGACCCTTGTCAGTGCTAGGAGCAGGTGAGAGTTAGGTGACCACAGAAGGGACTGGACCAGGAGAAAAGCCAGCTATAAGGGAGCTCATAAAGTTTCTGGAGGCACCTGCAGATCCCACATAAATAACTGGAATGAACTCACTGCCTTCCTACCTGTTCTCTCTGTAGGTGTCAGTTGGTGAGAGACTTAAGCAGCTCCAGGATGCCCACCGGGACTTTGGGCCTGGATCACAGCACTTCCTGTCCTGTACGTGAGCCAAACTAGACTTCACTTAGCAGAATATCAGCCATCTTCCAAGAATCTGCTGTTGTCTCTGGAGGCTTTGTGGGAGCCTAGTATGCCTTAGCATTTAAGAAGCAGTGAGGACGAATCCCTGTATTATTGTGGTTCAATGAACAGGCTCCTCAGTCAAAGGAAGCTGAATGTGACTCACTGTGCCCCAACCTAAGAGCTGTGCAAATTTTAAAAACTTAGTGTCACCTTTGAACCTCAGTTATCATATCTGTGCAATGGTGGGGGACAGGGAGATTGCCCAACTCATCAGGTTATAAAAATTAAATAACTTTATTTATTTAGTATTTATTGTGGACCAAGTACTTTTCTGGAAACTGAAGCCATCACAATGAACAAATGAACAGAAATCCTTAGACTTGGATAGCTTGTTTTCTAATGGAGGAACCAGATCATAAGGAAATAGATATAAGGGCAATTAATGGCAAGTGAGTGCTGAGGAAGACATTAAAGCTAGGAAGGTGTGCCTAGGGAGGGCTGGACTTAAAGGGAAGAGACACTGCAGAGGTCCCACTGAGAAGGTAACAATTGAACAGAGTCCTACAGGTGATGAAAGAATGAACCACACGAGGGAAGAGCACACTAGGCAGAAATTCCAGGCTCTTAAAGCAGGGGGTGAGGGGGTGTACTGAAGAACAGTAAGGAGACCTATGGAGAAGGGAGCAAAGAGAAGAACGGCGAGACGAAAGCACAGAAGGCCTTGTCGGTAAAAAGAAGAACTTGGGATTGTACTCCAAATGGAATAGAGGGCTTTTGATAGGGTTTGAGGTGAGGAATGATATGATATGACTTACTTTTCATCACAGTGTTCTAAATAGATTGTTGGGGACCAGGATGGGAGCAGAGAGATCTGTTAGGATCCATGTGAAGGATGGTGCTGGCCTAGACCAAGAAGGTAGCCATGGAGATGGTAAATATATACAGGAAGGAGAATTAGATATGCACACAAACCAAAGTAACATGTCTGGCAAGTATAAAGACCTCAACTCATGTTATCCATGCTTAAAATTATTGCTTCATAACCAGCTCCACACAGCTATACCTGTACAGGATTCTTGCATTCAAGAAAACTACAGTGAGCAAGCAGGTCAACCAGGTAACCTGACCCTCCCTGTTAAGATCTGGAGGATAAAGGCTGAGGGCTGAGTATTTCATAAGAGAGAAATGGGCAGTATCATCCCCCTCTGCTGCTCGTGCAGAGAAGGTTGGCCTTCTAGGGAAAAGGCTTTGAGCCTCATGTAGAAAATATATATTTTTTAAATTTTTATTTATTATTTTTGTTTTATGTGTATGCGTGTATTGCCTGCAAGTAGGTAAGTACACCTGTGTCGTGCAGTGCCCGCGGAGGACAGAAGAGGCTGTCGGGTTTATGTGTATGCATGTATTGCCTGCATGTAGGTAAGGGCACCCGTGTCGTGCAATGCCCATGGAGGGAAGAGTCTGTTGGATCCCCTGGAACTGGAGTTACGGACAGTTGTTAACTGTCATGTGGGTGCTGGGATTCGAACCCAGGTCTTCTGCAAGAACAACCAGTGTTCTTAACCACTGAGCCATCTCTCCAGCTTTTATCCACAGGAGCACTCCAGTTACTGCAGCTGAATGGGTAGAAATAACTGTCTTCTCAGAGAGAATATTGGGATGATCTAAGCCAAGTATTCTTATTTATGTTCTACCTGTGTTTCTGGTATGGTAGGACATCAGTGACAACCTCCTCCCCTTCCCCTGCTCCAACATCAGGGAGCAAACTGTGCTTTTTACAGTATTCCCCCACCCTCAAGAGCTGTTAACAATTGCAACTGAAGGTCAAGTATTTCACTTTGTGCTTAACCACCTTTGAGGAAGGATAGACCATGGGAATGGCCAAGAAGCTTGAAGAATACTACTAATCAGCTTTCTTTCTCTTTTCCTTTACCAGCCTCTGTCCAGGTTCCCTGGGAAAGAGCAATTTCACCCAATAAAGTTCCCTACTACATCAAGTAAGTGACTGTCAGAATCAGAAGCTGTTCAGTTACCTGCCTATCCCCTACATCACCTATATTCTGCTTCCTAGCTGTCACTTCTTGTTCAATGACATTCCTCTATCTAGTCCAGTTCTTCCTTCTACTCATTCAAAGACCTCAAGATTCTACCTGGGTGATGGTGAACTCTTGTATTTTAGAACTTTCAGAGTTCACCTTGGCATTGTGCAGCATCTTGCATCCAGCCAATCACTGACTGGTGTGTGCGTGCAGTGGGGTGTTAGGAGTGTGGATATCGGTGCTATTGATGCTTTTGTTTGTAGCCACCAGGCTCAGACCACATGCTGGGATCATCCCAAGATGACTGAGTTATACCAAACCCTAGGTAAGAATATGGGGTTCCTGTATGGAGTAGGGATCTACTGTACAGCTATCTTTGTCCTGTAATGTCCATCAGTGGATGAATGGATGAAGGAATTTTGCTGTATGGAATATTCTTTAGTCCCAAAAGACTTATCATTTGGACAACATGGATGAACCTGAAGGATGCTATGCTTGCTGAAATAAGGCATGCCAAGAAATCAAATACTGCATGATCCCACTTATGTAAGGAATTTAAAATAGGCACACTCATGGAATCAGAGTTAGAATGGTGGCTGTCTCAGGGGCTGGGAGGAGGAAATGCGGAGGTATTGGTCAAAAGCTACAGTTTCAATTATGCAACCTGAATAGGTCCTAAAGATCTGTATTACACATATATGCACATATAGTTAATAGTACTGTTTTCATGCTAAAAATTTGCTGAGAGAATAGATCTCACATTAAGTGTTCTTACCAGCCACATATTACTGCTAATAATAGTAATAACAAGAAGAAGGAGAAGGAGGAGTAAGAGGAGGAGGAGGAGGAGTAAGAAGAGAAGGAGGAGGAAGAGAAGGAGGAGGAGAAAGAAGAAGAGGAAGAAGAAGATAGGAGGAAACTTTAGTAGCAATAGATACGACATATATTGTAATGATTATTTATTGCCAAACTAAGATGTATGCATTAAATATATACAATTTTATGTGTCAAATATACTTCAATAAGGTGGCTTAAGAAGAAAATCTCAGCCAATAAGCAGGTAGGGTAGAAGGGAGTGCCTTGTTCTTCACTGACAACATCCCTTTGTCCTCTACATCTTCAACAACAAGTTCTCCCATATCCCTCTGGATTATTCTAGGATCATGTTAGAGAATTATATTTGTAGATGTGAAATCCAATCTGGTTTGAAATGCAGTCTATGAGCTGCAATGACGGAAACTCTTGTGTGCCTTATCTTTGCTTACTGAGAGAAGTACATCATGATGCCACAAGTTTTATCCATGTGACTATAGTTCATACATTTTCACTGCTGTAGTGGATGCCACCGGGTGTAGACATTTCTTTCCCATTCTACTGATGATAGGCTTGTGGATTTCTAGTTTGGATTGGCTATATGAAATGCTGCTGAGGAGATCTTGTACATGTCTTCTGATATATGTGTGCAAGGATTTCTCCAGGGCATGTTTTTATTATGTAGGTCATAACACCATTTCAGCTTGTTACGACAAGCTTCTTAAAAATGGAAATAGACTAGAAATATCAGTGTGCAACAGATCCTTAGCAAGGGTAGGATCTGAAATGAATTTTATGCTTTTATTTTATTAAATCTAGTAAGAATTGCTTTCTGAAATGTGTCATGTACATTGGATTATGATGTAAGCTGATCTATGTATTTTTAACTATGAATCTTTCTCAAAATGTTTGCATATCACTGCTGTGGAATATATGCGGCCAAGGTTGCAGGGTATTTGTGTTCCACATTAGTAGGTAATATCAAGTTGTTTTCCAATGGTTATATCAGTTCACACTTCCACCAACAACTCTCATTTGCACATATCCTTGATACTTGCTATCAAATTTGGTTTTATTGCCAGTCTGGTAGGTGTAAAACTATATTTTGTTGGGGTTTTGCTTTGCATTTCCCTGATCTGAGTGAGTCTCTTTCCATTCTTTGCAGCTGATCTGAACAACATTAAGTTTTCAGCTTATCGTACTGCCATGAAGCTCCGCAGAGTCCAGAAGGCCCTGCGCTGTATGTCTCCAGTCGCTCTTCTCTGTGGCTTTTACCCTCATCCTCCTGTGTCTCACCTACCTGCCTCTTCCCACGTGCATCTCACCTTAGCCAGTGTTGTTTGTCGTTTGATGGGAACTCTCCAAAGGCTGGGATATATGGACTGTGGACACTTGATTTTTCCATTCATTCCAAGTCCCAGATTTGTTTTCAAATTAACGCCACAGCTATCCAACTCCTTGCCTCTTTTCCCCAGCCCAAGTTGGATAATTAAGCAACAACTTTGCAGCAGGAAGTATTGGGTTCATTGTTTGCCATCTTGGAGTGATTAGACATAGCAGCAGAACTGTTACAGCAAGTCCAGTAGTTCACTACTAGCATGGCTGTCGATAGACTTTCTCTTCTGGCCTTGCTCAGGTGTACTGTTCATTTAAACTCCCTGTCCCAGATGTCTAGCTCAGCTGATTCAGCATTAGTGTAATTAAAATGGCCTCCTGATGCATGTCACATTCTCCAAGTTATACATAACCCTTCACAGGCAGTGTATAACTTAGAACAGGGCTCGTATGCAAATCTACTAACAGTTGAAATTTATGTTGGGCTGGGGATTTAGCTCAGTGGTATAGTGTGTAGCATGTGCAAGGCCTAGGGACCAATCTCCTGTACCCTCAAATTCTTTTAAAGCTAATGTAAACATAGAAAAACTTAAAATGGGTTATGGGCCCTTACACATCAATGCAACAAAGGAGGTGTGTCCATTCATACCTCACCATCTTCTCAAAACTGATGAAAGAACATGTGTGTATGGAGACATCCCAAGTTAACTTAGAGGGCTTTTATCTGCCTTGCCCCTCCTTGGGATGGGGGTCTTGGTAAAGGACAAGCTTGTGACATACTTGCAAATGCTTGGTCTGGAGACTGAATTAAATTCGGTGATTCTCTAGCCTTGTCTTCTTATGGGATTCTATTTCTGGCTATATTTTCCCTTTCTTCTTTCCTTTCAGTGGATCTGGTAACTTTAACTACAGCCCTGGAGATCTTCAATGAGCATGATCTGCAGGCCAGTGAGCATGTGATGGATGTAGTGGAGGTCATTCACTGCCTGACTGCCTTGTATGAACGGCTGGAGGAGGAAAGAGGCATCCTGGTCAATGTGCCACTATGTGTAGACATGAGCCTCAACTGGCTCCTCAATGTGTTTGATAGGTAAAGGATTTCATTCTGGAAGCCTCCAGAATAAATTCAGTGGGGCATCTCTAGCAGCCATGGGGGAAGAGATTGCTCCCATGGTGGGCTTGGACCAGTTCAGCTTGGGGCACAGTTGACCAGTACACTGCTGGGGTCAATTCAGTGAGGAAAATGACTGCCAAGATGTCAACCTTTTACATGTGTTCATGTTCTCAGTATCTTCCTTTAAATCTAGTGGTCGCAGTGGAAAGATGCGGGCATTGTCCTTTAAGACTGGCATCGCATGCCTGTGTGGCACAGAAGTGAAAGAAAAACTTCAGTGTGAGTACAACTCCAGAGGCTGGAGTAGCGTTGGGTTGGGGAGGATTGGGTGTCGCAGGGTTCGGGGTGAAGGAAGGGCAGAAGATAAACAGAATGTAGAACTTGCAACTCGGCAGAGGGGTACTTGGGCCACCTTCTAATGTCTCTTGGTCTCAGCTACTGCAAAGAATGCATGACAGCCAATGGCCAGGATGGGCCTAAAGCTTGTTATTCTTCCAGTGTTACTCTGAGAGGCTTGGGTGTAATTACTTAGGATCTTCATGGACTCCAAGGGGTACCTGGGGCTCTGTCTTGCTAGTTCTAGTCCCTCTAGTCTAACAGATTTGTCAGTCTCCCTGTCTGAAACTCAAGCCACATCACATATCCTCCTGGAGAAGTCCCCTGTCGTTACATAGACAGGATGCAATAATATACTTTCTATAGGAAGCAGACAGTATGTACTCTGTAGTTTGAGCCTCCCTGGTTTATGCCATGTTTGTTTTTTCCCTTCAATCATGCATCATGTCTTCAGCATTTTACAGGTTTTTTTTTTCCAGCAGCATCATTAGTTGTTGAGTCCTAGTGTGTGTTCAATTCTCTGCTAATAAATGACGGGAATGATGGGTCAAATTAGACCTGGTCTCCTCTTTAGGAAGTTTACAATCTAGATGAAATAATATTTTGTTTTTTAATATATGTGTATGAGTGTATTGCCTACATGTATGTGAGTGCACCCATGTCATGCAATGCCTCAGAGGTCAGAAGAGGGCATCGGATTCCCCTGGAACTGGAGTTAAGGATGGTTCATAGCCACCATGTGGGTGCTGGGAATCGAACCCCGGTCCTCTGCAAGAGCAGTCAGTGCTCTTAACCGCTGAGCCATCTCTTCAGCCCCTAGAAAACATTTCTTAAAGGTTCTAACTGAGCCTAAGACAAATGACCACATCAGAAAGATGACTATGGTACAAGCAAACCTTAGAGAGAAGGAACTTCTCCAAGCATGTTCATGGCTGTGATAACATTTGTTTCACCCAACGTTCCTTTGAGATAGGATGGACAGTGACAATTTGCCTTCAGTGTTCAAGTAAGAAAGTTGCTGCAGTAAAGAGACTGCCACATAGAGAGGTTCATGACTTAATCAAGATGCTACAGCTATTCGGCAGTGGATTCAGACATCAGACCGTGGCACTTAGTCTTCTGCTTCTTGTGTATTTTCTAGTCTTAAGTGAGGTATGAAGCGCATAGACAATAATGTCTAGGGGAGGTATGCAAAGGTTGACCTGGCATTGGGGAGGTTCTAGAAGAGCTTCCATCTCTTAATGGTATGGACACTTGACTATAAGGCATGTTCAGACACGCCTGAGGAATCTGCTTTCCCAGAAGTGTAACATATTTGTTGGGCACTGTATTACAAATCACTGTTTCTCTCTCTCTCTCTCTCTCTCTCTCTCTCTCTCTCTCTCGCTCTCGCTCTCGCTCTCGCTCTCGCTCTCGCTCTCGCTCTCGCTCTCTCTCTGTTCTGTCTCTTCATTTCTCTGTCTCTCCTCTGTTCTTTCTCCCTCTTTCCCTTTTTCCCTCCCTGCCTCCCTTCTTCCATTCTTCCCTCTATTCCTCTCTCTTCCAATTAATGATGCTCTGTTTTTACGTCTGTGTTATCCCCTGCCTTAAGAATGCTCTTTTTAGAACTCTTGGGCATCTAGATCAGGCATGACATTATAGATTTTCCGGTTTGAGAAGTCATTATCTCGGTGATGTGCTCTTTTCCTGTCTTCCTTTTTTGCTTTTTCTCCTCATACCATTCTCTGGCCATTCCTAAATTGGGGTTGGCTATTGTTGGTGATGGGCCCAGCAGATCTCTTCAGTCAAGTGGCCAACTCAGGAAGCCAATGTGACCAACGCCATCTCGGTGTCCTGCTCCATGAAGCCATTCAGGTGCCCCGTCAGCTGGGTGAAGTCGCAGCTTTTGGAGGCAGCAATGTGGAGCCCAGTGTCCGTAGCTGCTTTCGTTTTGTGAGTATAGAACTGCAGAGTCAAGGAGTAAGGGAAACGAGATGGAAGGGAGGGAGGGTAGAAGGGAAAAGGGACCAGCATCTAGGATTTTGATCTTAAGTATTCAGATGTATAAGAATTTGTTGGGATGGGTCAACAGTTCTGTAGGGTGTAGGTTTGGATTCCTGTCAGGGAGAGTGATAACTAAGATAAGGCGGAAGGTAGACACCTCTGGAGAATAGACCACCTGGCACTCTAGCAACAAGGTATCTTGGGCTTAGTCATATCCACTAGATATTTTATTTCTCTAGAGCACGGGGAAGGCAGTCATTGAAGCTTCCCAGTTCCTGGAGTGGGTCAACTTGGAGCCCCAGTCCATGGTGTGGTTGGCTGTTCTGCATCGGGTTACCATCGCTGAACAAGTAAAGCATCAAACCAAGTGCTCTATCTGTAGGCAGTGCCCCATCAAAGGGTTCAGGTAGGGAATACAATGCCTGCTGGAATGATAAAAATGTCACATAACATAAAAATTAGGTGCTACAAACTAAGGCATTATTTATTATTCTTTATGACTTATCTATGGTATAGTATCACCATATTATTGTAATCCATTTTATTGAAGAATGTGTAACTTATAAAAATGGGAAATGAAATATTTTCTTTTTAGTTATAATATGAAGTACTACAGACTCATGGAAATACATAGTGAATATTATAACAAAACTTATGTACCAAATTCTGTGCCAGCACGTTTCACAATAAATTCCCAGGAAAAAAAAAGAGGAAGCCTGATTTGTAGCATTTGCTGATTTCTGCAATGTAAATACTCCCATTATAGCTGTGAAGCAGGTTATATACAGGGAATCTCTGAGAAGAGTTGAAAGAGATGTAAATTTGCACAGTGTTTATAGTATTTCCACCATGCAGATGCAAGTCACATACCCCTAATCCAAAAATCTGAAATCTGTTGGCAATACCCAATCAAGAATTTCTGGATTAGGAAATGTTCAACCAGCAAAGCCTGTGCAAATATGGCAAGAATTTCATATAAAGGATACCCAACCAGTGCAATAGATGCAAATAACTTTGCAGGCCTGTACACACCCTGCAGCCGTGCAAGTGAGGATACCTATGAATTCAGCCCAACACAAAATCGTAAACTTACTTAAAATAAGAGAATTTTCTGCAATTCTTATTTCTAAGTCAATTGCACAGTTCTTGAGTATGAATTTCCTAGATGGCAATATGTTGCAATGTCAGTTGACTCCAGCACACTGTAGTGTTTACTCACAACCAAGATTAAGTAATAATACATTTAGAGTTTCCCTGATTAGAATCCCCTCCTTCCTCTACAAAAGTACCTGTTTCATAAAACACTTCTCTCTCTCTCTCTCTCTCTCTCTCTCTCTCTCTCTCTCTCTCTCTCTC